CTGTCGATCTAATCATGCTTGCTTTAAAATAGTCAAACAGTGCAGAAGTGTATATAGTACGAACTAGAAGTTTCCTCCACCCCACCCCCACTCCCCCGCGGATGGCAGCTAAGCAGTCCGAGGAGCACCCTTGGCACCTCCTGGGGTACATACATGCCTGGCAAGTAGCTGATGATAAATTAACAGGCTTCTTCCAGAACGGGAATCCAGAACATGAGTTTGAGAAGATGCACCTCAGCTGATGAGGGCCGCGGCTGACTCCAGATCTCCTTACTGTAGGTGTCGGGCGTAGCTGAGGGGAACAGAAACATCCACTTCTCCTGCTACTGAGCCCTCCCCTCTTCCCTGTTCCATCCACTGTTGTCATCAAAACTAGGCTCCAACAAGAAAAATGATATATTTCTTCCAAAAATAAAAAGCTAAAAGAAAACAAAAAGTGTCGGTGTGATCCTACAGCTGGAAAAGGCATGTGACGTAGTATCACCTGCCCTCCTTAAACACAATGGCCCAGACCCTCGGCCTCTTTAAGGCCCTAGATTTAAAATGAGCTTTATCATCTGATTGAAAGGTAAATGTCACATGAACCAGATGCTTTTCCATACCAGCGGTCTCTCCTTCAAGGCATTCTATGGCAAATGCTCATTACATACCAGATTGTGAACTTGGTAGCTGTCACTTATTTTGTGAAAAGCTGGCTCATACAGTAAAACACCTAACAACACAACACTTAATAACATGGCTAACGATCCGTGCAAATCAAATTCTCTGCACATCAGTTTCCTGGGCTTTTATTCCACCTCGCCGACCTGACACAAGGGGACTAGGTAAACTGGTTGTGAACACTGAAAGGTCAAGTAAAGCTGTGATAATACGTAGTAACAAAAATAATAATTAATAAAAACTTATATTAAGCACCTATATATTATAGCAGAGACTATGCTAATTAAATACCTACCTATGTTGTCTTTTTCCCCTACCTACCATATTTTTTAGACCCTAAGACACACCTAGGTTTTAGAGGAGGAAAATAGGGGAAAAAATTTTGAAACAAAGAATGTGGTAAAATATTTAATAACATAAATAACCTAATATTTCACCAATGTAAATGTAAACAGAACTCAACAGCAGCATTAACAACCATTATTCCTCCCAAATGGGAGGGGGGCGAGGGGGTGCATCTTATAGTCCAAAAACACGGTATATTGTTACAAAATTTGTAGAGTTTGCAAGTTAGAGATGATTATCATTTCGGGTAGATGAGAGAGACTAAGAGAGGTTCAGTAATTGGCCCAGTCATGAAACCAGTGAGTGAGAGCACTGGGATTGGAATTTGCGACTCTAATTCATTGGTGGTGTCCTGGAGTGGTTGAGGACTTGGGTACTAAGTCCAGGCATGGACGCAAAGAGTGTCAGGATTGATTAGCCATGAGTATCTGCCCTGTGTGTAAGTCAGGATGGAGGGCAGCAGAGCATAAGCTGCATGTTTGTCTCTTGCGTCACAGTATCTCAAAAATGACGCTACTTAGGGAGGGAAAACATCGCCTCTCTTAAAGTATATTTTGGTAAAGTATCACAATCTGAGGGCCCAGTGCCCAGTTATAATAAAAAGCCACATGATTCCGAAAGCATCCAGTGGCTGCGGTGTGCCAGGGGCAGAGCTACTGGCTTCCCACAAATAACAATCATCGCATTGGCCACACAGTTCCCAGTGGCTCCCCAGCAGCAGCATTGTCACATCCCAACAAAGCGGCTTTGCCACAGACACATAAGCCCCATGGCTGGCACCGACAGTTTCCCTGAGAAATGCACTGTCCTCTGTTGTCAGTCAGCCTTATTGTTCAGAGTTGAGAGAGTGAGGCTTATGTCTACATGTGGGACAATAATGTGTTCTATATTCTTGTTGTCAGCAATGTTCTGGGTCACCATGATATCTAAACTTCCAAGTCTGCAAGTCTGCAATGCTCTGAAGTGAACTTTTCGCAAGCTAACCCTCACATTTGAAGACATATTCATCCCTAACTCAAATATCACTTCCTCTAAAGCCTTCCAGGACCACCATTATCACCAGCATCAGAATTGGCTTATTGATTCTCATAACCCCAGCATCTAGGACAGTGCTAATAAATCTTTTAACAATTGAAAGAATAGGTTAAACTCTGCTGATTTTTAAGAAGTTGGATATAGTTGAACTACAGTGATATTTGTGATCCAGGAAGATGAAAAGATGGTAACTATTCCAAAGATACTTCCCTGGGTCTACTCTGATTATGTGCAAAGAACACAGTCAAGCAGCAAAACACAGTAGAAGAAGGGCTTTGCTTCCTGGGAATGTTGGGCTGCAGTGCACAGGGAGAGACATGCTCTGTAAAATGTGCTGATATTTCTGAAAAATCACAGGTGTGGGGCTAATGAGCAGAGACTGATACATGTTCAGAATGTGTCATTTGTGTGTCTTTGCTTTTGGTGTATACAAAAGTCATTGATGTATCTCCCACTGGTCTGTGAAAATTAAATATTTGATGTAGTAACTAGTTCACCAGCAGGGTCTATGACTAGGTGCATTTTATAGCCACAAATGTTAACTAGTGTTCAAAAGTCTACTGAACTTCGAATCATGTGTGTTGTGTCCTCTGGGATGCTTTGGGTTGCATGTAATAGAAAGCAAAACTCCAAATGGCTTGGACAAGAAGGAAGCTTTATCTCAAGAACAAGAAATCTGGAGATAGGGTCTCTGAATGATTAATCAGCACCATAGTCACATCCTAAAAGACTGCTTTGCCATCCCCTCCAAGTGGGCTTTGTTCTCAAGGTAGCTCCCTCCTGGTTGCAGGTGCTGCAGCTCTTCCAGGTAACACATGGTAAAGAGCAAGGGAACCTTTCCCCAAAGACCCAAGCAGCCCTCTCCTTACATCGCATTGGCCGGAACTGGGTCAGTGTCTATCATAACAAATCATTGGTAAGGGAAATGGGAGTACTAAAACTAGTTTAGGAAATTAAGATTTACTCCAAAATTGAAGATAAGGTCAACTTCCTTGGGAAAATCTAAACTAAACCAGAATTCATTTAATATGGAGGAAGAGGAGGCTTCTGAATAGGGAACCAACCCACTGTGTCAGCTACAAATGCTCAGTGGAGAGGCCACATTCATATTTTTATACTGCCTTCCAAGTGCCGAATATGCTAATACTCTTAATCTGGTGATTTCATATTAAAAATTAGCCATTATCTGATAAGGTAAAGATAAAACATAAATTCAGATAAGACAGAAAAACCTCCATTACCTGACTTCACCAATGAAATTCAACTCCCCACTTCTAAATTAGGACAGTTAATTGACTTCGAAGACTTAGGTCGCTCTATCAGGAGAGGCCATTTTTTTAAAAGAAGGAAGTGAGGAGACAGCCTCAGAGTGAATATGGGAGAAAAGCTCCCCAAGAAGAGGAACTATATGCAAAGACCCTGAAACAAAACTGATTGGATCTGAAAGTGTCAGACTGTTTGGCTCACAGTGAGCAGGAAGAGAGTCACAGGAGGTGAGGGTGGGACTGCTGGAGACATTGGCCATTAGAGCCTGGTAGGTCTAGGTCCATGGGAAGCAACTGGGGGTTTCATTCTAAGTGCAACAGGAAGCCACTGGAAGGGTCAAACAGGACCTGCTTTATAAAGTCACTTTATAAAGTGGCTCCAATAATCCCATGCAAGATCCTTTTAAATGCTGGAAAGAGTTAACTCCATTTAATGTAGGCTGTGTGTCCTTAGACGGTTGCTAGGAAGTCCACTCCATTACCTTGGCTCTATGCTAAGCTGATCTTTAGGTTTAGTGCTGAATGCATGTTCCTGAATGCATGTTCCTAAACATTTAGTGGAATGACTTATTCTGGAGCAACTTGAAGACATTTTGATTAAAAGATGGTACTTTAAAGAGAAACAAAGGCTACTTACCATTTTGGTGATGTTGCTACTCATTTCAGTAGCTCTCCACCAGTTTGTCTCCTAACTGACTTCTAGAACCTTAGAAAGGGAAACTGCCGGAAAAAGGGTGGCCAAGCACTCTCCCCAGATGGCCAGCCAGCTTTCCCTCTAGTCTTGTGTGTGGTTTGCACACTCTGAGGAATATGTCTACGGGCTTCAGTCATAGTGGAGACCACTCGTTCCAGCCGCCACGCCCTTTCATACCTCAGGTTACATCACTGAGCTCAGCACGTTCCAAAGCAGTTCCTTAATAAAAATTTCATATGTGCATTTATTTCTCAACAGTTTTTCACTGTGTCAACAGTCTTTGAGCACCACTGTCTATGTGGAGGCAAACACATGACCAGACATTGAAAGACAGTGTTAGAGTGGTGTTAGTCCATGGCTCTGGGGAGCTCTGAGGAGGGAACCAGGATGGGCTTCCTGGAGGAAGTGACAGGAGAGCTGAGCCCTGAAGAGGTTTCTTCTGGCTTCTGTGAGAAACACGTAACAGACATGGAAAGATGTACCCAAGGACAGTGGTGTAGAAGCTGCTGCAGGGGGCCCAAGAGAGGCCAAGGAGGCCTGGGCCATCCACATGCAGAGAGGAAGTTGGTTGAAAGACATAAAAAGAAATATCCCAGGAATAGAGCCAGGGCACCTTGGAGAGTGTTTGGACATAGGACAGAACTGAGACAGTTCCAAGAGTTTTCAGTCAACCCCGTCTACTCCCCAAGGTTTGAAGCTGAAACATAGAGGTCACCAGAGTTCTTCATGCGATCCTGTCCAGATCCATTCCTCTTGTCCATGACCTCTTTTGGGAATACTGATGACAAATTAAGTGGAATTATGTATGCTCTTCAGAATAAAGCCCTGAGTTTTATTACTCTTGTTCACAGAACATTTGAAGATGCTTCTGGGTAAATGCAAATTATTGTGGTATATCTGTGCCTGTTTGGCCAATGGCAGGCAGCCTTCTAAGTATGGTTAATGTCAGAAGTGAAATTATTTTCATAAATGTTGTTTCTTTTCTCTTTTCATTTGTGAAGTATATTCGGTGCTCTTCGAACTGGTGCTTACATGGTGTACATTTTGATGACCAAAGGCCTGAAGCAGTCAGTTTGTGACCAGGGTTTTTACAATGGACCTGTCAGCAAATTCTGGGCTTATGCATTTGTGCTAAGCAAAGCACCTGAACTAGGTGAGTATCTTCTCTCCTTCCATTTCCTCCTCCGCCACCTAATTTATAGCTACATACCCACAATGTTCATTTAAAACAAACAATTTGGCCTTGGTTGATGTGGCTCAGTGGATTGAGCACTGGCCTGTGAACCAAAGGGTCGCCAGTTCTATTCCCAGTCAGCACACAAGCCTGGGTTACAGGTCAGGTCCCCAGTTGGGGGCACACGAGAGGCAACCACACATTGATGTTTCTCTCCCTCTCTTTCGCGTTCCCTTCCCCCTTCTCAATAAAAATAAACAAATAGAATATTTTTTAAAAATAAAACAAACAATTTGAAGGTCCTGCTTTGTTGGTTGCAGTAAAGTTACAATTAATGACTAACTTCCACTATCTTTTCCTCTCTTCCCTCCCTCCTTTTTAAATAACTACATTGTGTATATGAAGAGCAAAATACTATGCATAGAACACGCAGACTTTCAAACACTACTGTCTGTACACTTACAGGGGTCATAAAATGTGTACAGCCCCTCATGCACACATTATCTAGCCCATTTTCAGCTCAGCTAATATGAGAACATGAGGAAACATTACCAGCACGACTATTTCCAAGTCCCATACTAAAGCGTACTTCCTTTTCTGGAGCTAGGGCTCAGACTAGGAAATGAAGCTTTTCATTTGGGTGCCTTCATGTTCTCATTAACAAATGCTAAGGGCTGGTTTCTGCTGTTGCTTGATTTTAATGACCAAAGACATGGGCACTGGGGAAGTGGAATGTACTTCAAATTTCAGAAACTAATTTAAATAAACTGGTCATATGTGTAGATGCCTAAGGTTTGCCCTCCACCTCTTAATGGGCTTCAATATAAGTATGGCGTGGGCTAGCAGAAACAGTGGAAACAAGTGGCAATGATTTGACATAAGTACAGCTCCCCAAGAAAATATCTTTACTGCCAGAGAGAGGGATCCGCTGGTGATAATAAGACCTGCGTTCACCCACGAGCAGAGCCGACCACTGCCTCACAAACTCATACATATCTTTAGGGGAAGCCCAGCCATTCTCTGAGTTTCTTAATTCTTTATCTGGAATTAAGAAGTGTATGTATTAAGTTTAAAATATTTGTTTGTAGATTGTGTTCCCTCTCCCATTTTCCCTAAAAGGGGGAGTTAAAGGTTATAATTTCATTATAAGCCACCTAGCATATAAGATAATAGTCTTTGTGTAAGGTACGCCCAGTTCATGTCCTGTGTCTATTCATGAAGGATACAAGGTCTCTCTGACAGGTGGGTGTATCAGCCACCCACTCACTTCCCTCTGGGGGCGATAAACCTGCTGCCTACAAATAGTTGGCAATTGGTTTGAACTATTGGTGTGATTTTGTCTCCCCCCAAAACACACACACGCCGAGTCTGTATAGTCTGAGAATGAAGTGTATTAGTAGGGATTCATTCATTCATCCATCCATCCATCTATTCAATAAATTTATATTAAGTGCCTACCAGAGTTAGGTATGTTATAGGGGCTAGAATGGAATGGCTACATTATCTAAAAAAAGAAATTTATAACACAAATTTTATGAACTAGGCCCCAGGAGGCTTTTCAAAAAATATTTGAATTAGTGCAAAATCTTAGGCCAGAGAAGTGTTTTTCAAACCTGGAACTATATATAATGCCTGAAATTCTGCGGCTATATTTTTAGGAATTTCAAAGCTCTATGAGAATATTTTAATCTTGTGTTTTTAGTTGTAGATAAAATGAAAGATTATCTTGCCAGATGCATTTCTTTCATAGTGATTCTTTTTTTACTTCAGTTCACAAGTTTCTGTGTTAGATCATGTGGCCCCTCTGGAGCTGGTCTGAGAACGTGAGCTTGTCTTCTTTACTCATGGGGTTTTCTGGCGTTTTTCTTTAAAAATAAATTTATACACTATTAATATTATATCCCACTAACTTTTAGTTAATGCAGTATAGTAAGTATACTTATTAATTCCCCTACCTTTTTGATAAAGAACTGCAGATGTATGAAACACATGAATGCAATAAATGCTTGAAACATGTAACCCACACACACACACATGCAGTTCCTGAACACTTTTATGATTTACACCTTACTACCCTCAACAAATTTTTTTTTAAATCATAAATGGTGCCTCAGTGCACCTGGCTGTTAAGTCTCCAGTTGTGTCACAGCAGCCTCAGCCTTTGTTTCCAGAAGTGTCTTTACCCTGCAAGGGCAGCTTGACTGTGTCCTGCCTGTTCTCCTACTGTAGTCAAGGGACTTAAGAATAAAAATGGGCCTTTCCTGCCTTTTGAAGGAATAACTTATCGAAGAGCCTCTCCAGGGGTTCCATATGAGTCCCTTTCCTTCAGAGACATGACTAGACCCAGGCTCCCTCCCTCGGGACCTCTGTGCCCCGTGGAAACCAAGGTTTTAGGCTGGCGGACAGAGCTGAGCTTCCCAGCGCGGCCTCAGCGGCATTCGTGCTCCCACCGTCTGTCTGTGAGTCTGTGAGTGTGCTCATCCTGATGACGCTAAGTAATCCCCTGTCCTACAGCAATCCGGGTCCCAGATTGCTCACCCTGCTCCCCAGTGCAGACACCGTAATTGGATGTGGGCTCTTCCCTCTTGAGCCCAGACGGAGCCGGACTCCAGTCCCTTGTGCCGGTGGCTGCACTGGGGAGCACTTGATAACCCCTTTCCTGTTGAACCGCCAGCGTACCACAGCAGTGTGTCATTTGAACATCAAACGGTCCGTCCCCTTGCCGTTTACAGTGTGGGGCTGAAGAGTAAGGCTAGTTAGTGACACAAATTCTTCGTGTAGTTTCAGGGCCATTACACAGATCTTTTCGTGATCTGAGGCCCCTTCAACTTTAAAACATTACTTACTTCCTTTCAAATATTCTGGAGCTCACTTGACAATGGCCTCCCCAAGGTGAAGTGCTTGTCCATCAAAACAAACCCAACACTCAGAGCTAATGCAGTGTCTTGCAGGCAACCCGCCCCTGCCCTTGTTTAGTAAACGTACTTGTTTTGGAAGTTAAATTCCTTCCCGGTTCTTTTGGTCTTAGAAAACCTTGCCACTACCATTTAATTAAGAAAGATGTATCCATTTGGATTATTCGGAACTTTTCTCATTCTAAGTCCTGAGTTCTGTTTTTTAATATTCTAAAATTCTGGACTCCCTTATGCCCACCAGAAAGTGAAGGTCCTGTGAGAGAGAAGAACAATTCCTCCATGTTCAATACTGAAACTCTGTGCTCCCCCCAAAACTTCTATGCCTATAGTTTTCACTAAAATTTTTTGGCAAAATACACATAAGACGTACCATCTCCAAGTGGACAGGGCATTGAGAACACTGCACTACAGTGCAGTCATCACCACTGTCCTCCACCAGCGCTTCTCCATCCTTCCCACTGCAACTCTCCACTCATTAAACGCCATCTTTCCATTTCCCCCTTCAATAAACTCTTAACAGCAAGGCAGTCGCTCTGTTTCAGCAGAAATCACTGAGCTCATTTCAGTGAATTACAGGGTTACAGTCTACTAGAACGAGTGAGGGGAAGACAGCCACCAACCTGCCTCGTGTGCCAGCATCCTGGGGTGCCCACTGTTTGAATTACATTAAAACCTGCTGAGATTTGGTTTTGTTAAAACTTGGAAACATCTGCTCTGAGTCTAAGTCCTTGCTTAGTTGAGCTTGTCTTTGTTTTTGAAACTCTGACTCAGCAGAGCTCCAGCTGATTCTGTGAAGGGCAGCCCAGCACTCCGTGACAACCACACACCACACTGAGCGACTGGTGGCTGTGCACCCCCTGGGGATTTCCAAATGCTGAAGGGACACTTGGGAATAAAAACTCCATGCCCTACCTGCAGGCTGGCTGGCTCTTGACTGGAAACAGCTGAACCGAAGGTTCGAGAGACTGTGTGGTAGAGATAACATAAACCAGAGATGGCTAAACTAAGTGACATGGCTGAAGGGTTCAGGCATCAGAGGTCCCAAATACTTTACACTGAGCCAGAATCCTTTCCATAAGGCCCAGGGGCCCTTTGACTGAGGATAGGTTGGCCAACATCTCATACACAGCTGCTGTCTTTAACTTGCATTTCCAGGACACTGGAGCTTCTGACAGACCTGTAAACACTATTAACTTGTGACAGATCAAATGTGATAGTGTGTGGTTTCCCAGAGGGAAAAACACTGTGGCTGCCAGAGTGGTGTGACTGTTGCCTCTCAGCTGCACTATCAAAGGACCATGGTGGTCTCAGGGAGCCCTTCCGGAGCCCCCCAGTTCCCCCTCGCCCATGGGATGCTCTCATTCTCTGGGTCAGTGGCCTTCGTGGGGACAGTAACTTTGAGAGGGTATTGAAGTGGTACTCCTGAGAGGCTCCAGGGCCATTATTGAAAGAGACTCATCTTCATCCTGCATAACTGTTCTGAAAAAAGATTCTTAAGTGAATTCAAATTAATTTTATGTGAAGTTCTCATGACCTGTCTTTCACCCCCACATTCCTGTATTAAATGGAAACCCCTAGTGTGTCTCAGGTCAAACTCAAGACCCCCTCCCCAACTCAGGAAAAACACAAAGCAGTTTTCAACTCCAGAACCATAGGTCCGACTTTGCATTCACGTGAGGCCATCCTAATGTGGTCGCTGTCTTTTGTCTCCTGCTGTTCCCTTCACAATGAAATTGTTCTTCCTCTCAATTAAATTGTTCTCTAGACTGTAAAGTTTTAATATAAAAGTGATGATAGAGTTAAAATTAAGTCTATAAGACTGTAAAAGGATGAAATGCTTACTACTTTATGGCAAATAACTTTTATTACAATGTGTTTAGACATTGTGTGAGACGAAATCTGTTTTAACCTACAATTCCTTGGACTTCTTTTTTCCACTGAGAATAAAGGTAGACTGGAAGTATTGTGTCCACATGAGGATCCACAGAGGGTGGCCGGAGTAGTAATTACACAGAAATAGTAGATTCTGACAGGCACAAAAGTAGCATAGTTCAACACTAAGAAGTAGACACAGGTCTCCTAAGACGAGTTTTATCCCTTAAGTATGCAGGTGAGAGTTCACCACCACCATTGGTCATTATCAGCCTGTCTTATATTTATAGGCATAATATGTCAGTTACCTAACATAAGAAGAGAGAAGAGGACTTCAAAGAGAACTTTATAACAGGTTCAGAAATGCAGCAACTGGCAACTTTTCTGTTCTAAACAAACATGAAGTAATGCTGTTTAACAATTCAGTAGGGAAATAACTTAATATCTACTGCTGAATGGAATGGGGCACCACCTGTACTGTTCCAGCCACCACCATCTGTCCAAGATCCAGCATTCTTTGACCTTCTCTTGGGCCAAACATTCTAAGGTGCCCTTGAAGGATGAGGGATAGGACAAGGATAAGTACTAAGTCTCTTTGTGTTTAATTAAATTGCAGAGTAAGAAGAGAGACCACCTACTTCTCCTTATTATAGAAAAAGAAGCCAAATCTGAGTTCATTTACCAAAGCTCCTGAGAGATGCTGGTTGCACCGTATGTGAGAACCATAGAGCGAGGAAAGAGAAGGAAGCATTTGTTTGCATGAACCCTCTTTCTGTCCCACATACCAATGTCTCTTCCCCTTTCTTTGCACTTGTTAATGGAATTGGCTGTATTTGCTCTTTATCCATTTTTTTACATGTGTTCTACAGGTTTTTTCAGAATTCCTGACTTCTCAGAGAATCATTGCAGATATATAGCATCTGTCTACCTGAGCATAATTCTGGTTTCTGTAATACAGACTCCTTACCCTAGACACAGTGGCCTTTTTCTTCAAGGGGATAATGTTTGTAAAATGTTTGATAGCTTCAGAGAGCTATTTCAGAGTTAATTCCATAAAGATGTATGTCAGTCTCAGTTTGTTATCACTTGATTCACTGGTTTAATAAAAGATTCCTATCGCTCTCTTTAGCAAATATGGTAGAAGATGACCTTTGTTCTCTTTTTCTGGTTTTGCCTTTTGCTTAAATTTTACGTTTCTAACTGCCATATGTCCAGGTGTCACATTTTACAGGGAGCTTACAAAGATATGTTCTTAAGGGGTCCCTTTGCCATGTACCGAAGAAAAAGTTCACTGCTGCAGAGTGGCCTGGGAATTCTGTGCTGGCACTTAAATTCCGATCTGTTTCTCCTGATGGATGACGACCTGAGACAAGTCAGCTCACCCTGAAATGTGTGTTAGAGTGTGGTGGAGTCAGAGGTCAGGCAACATTGTTACTAAAGTCCCTTCCAGATCAAAAATTAGTAAGGTTTTGTGCAAAACACCTTTCGTAAAGCAACATTTATTGAGTTCTTACCATGTGCTGAGAGGGTCTATTGATAATCATTCAATCCTCAAAACATTTCCAAGCTACTGTTATTATCCCCATTTTACAGATGAGGAAACTGGAGAATAGTGAGAATAAACATCCTGCCCCATGTCACAGAGGTAGTCAGTATCAGTCCAGGATTCTAACCCAGTCCCCCTCACTCTCAAGGGCTAGGTCAAGGTGTACCTACTTTTTGTGAGAAATATAAAATATCATTATGTCACGGTCCAGGGGCTCACGTCCATTTTTCCCTAACTTGTCTTTCAGGAGATACAATATTCATTATTCTGAGGAAGCAGAAGCTGATCTTCCTTCACTGGTACCACCACATCACTGTGCTCCTGTACTCTTGGTACTCCTACAAGGACATGGTGGCCGGGGGTGGTTGGTTCATGACGATGAACTATAGTGTGCACGCCGTGATGTACTCTTACTACGCCTTGCGAGCAGCGGGTTTCCGAGTCTCCCGGAAGTTTGCCATGTTCATCACCTTGTTCCAGATCACTCAGATGTTGATGGGCTGTGTCATTAACTACCTGGTCTTCTACTGGATGCAGCATGACCAGTGTCACTCTCACTTTCAGAACGTCTTCTGGTCCTCACTCATGTACCTCAGCTACCTTGTGCTCTTCTGCCACTTCTTCTTTGAGGCCTACATCGGCAAGATGAGGAAAACCATGAAGGCTGAATAGTGTTGGAACTGAGGAGGAAGCCATAGCTCAGGGTCATCAAGAAAAATCACAGACAAAAGAAAATGGCACAAGGAATCACATATGGTGCAGCTAAAACAAAACACATGAGCAAACACAAAACCCAAGGCAGCTTAGGGATAATTAGGTTGACATAACCCAGTAAGTTTATGATCCTTTTTGGGTGAGGACTCACTGAGTGCACCTCTATCTCAAAGGACCGCTGCTAGAGGGCCCCATTTCTTCTTTATCTGTCGTCAACTTTAAGACAAATGAGAGCAAAAGTGAGCCAGAGGCAGAGAGAGAGATATCGAAGGCAAACAAAGGTTATTAACACTGAAAAGTATTTACTAAGTGTTATATTTCTCTGAGAATGAAAGAAGTTTACTTAAAAACTGTGCAAGCACATGCACACACAATCTAATCTTTTTGACACTAAACTGGAGCCAATAGAATAGATAAAAATGGAAGAGACACAGGGTGTATATCTACAACATTAATCCTTTTGCAAAACTTAAAGCCTTTTTAAGAAAGGTTAGTAGCTGTAGCCCCATGAGGAAAGATGTCTTAATCACCTCTTACAAAAACAGATATAAACAAGTATATTTCAACTGGTGTTTTCCTCTTAACAGCACAGCTTCAGGCTGGTGGGTTTGCCAGAACCAAACGGGGCACAGTGTCCTTCCCAGGTTCTTCCTGGGAGGGTGGAAAAAATGCGGCCCAGTGCTGGAAGGAGCAGCTCCATCTCAGAGCATTTCTGGTAGTTTTATCAGTAATTTCTATTCTTGAGTGAGATATGAAGCATCATCCTTGGTTCAGGTACCCCAGGCTTTTGAAAAGAGTAAATACAGGATAGAAAAAGTGAAACTCAACTGAATGATTTGAAAGTGGATTCTGTAGTACATGTACAAAGGTTTGATCCAGTACCATTCTTGAGCTGAGAAGGGAGAAAAGCAGGGAAAAGAAGTGAGCCGAAGATCTTTACAATGTATACCCTTACCTATTTGACTTCACACATAGTCATAACTTTCCACATGAGAATCTGTGGTACAATCTATATCTTCTATATTTTTGTGAATTTCAAAAATCTGCAGGGCCCTTTCCTGATACTGAGTGAACACTGTGTTTCTGCATCATCTGCATTTGCTTCCTAAGCAATGTAGAGGTGTGTAAAGTGCCCTCTGCTGGTCAAGTGGAGATACTTCAACAAATGCTTCCTGGGAAGTTTGGAACTGTCGCCAACAAAGGGCCCCCTATAGACTTATCCTCCAAATTTTAAGTAATACAAAATACACGTCATATTTTTGGCCAAATCAGAAGACATCTTTCCTGCTTCAAGTCAGCTTCAGAAATTTTTTAAAAAGGACTTTCACTCTGGAACTCAGAAAGTCAGTTTATTAAGAGCCATATTCTTTAAAAAGAAAAGGTAGTTAATATATTATTGGTAATATTTCAGTCCTTTACAAGCCAAATAAATGTGTAAACATTCCTAGTATTTCAAAGAAACAATTATGTAAAGTTGTTCAATGTGATATAATAGTATTCTAATTGGTTAAGTAGCTTAATGATTAGACACACTAGTTGAAAAGAGTAGGGGCTGCTCCACTGCGTAGATCACACATGTAGAGCCACACATATGCACAAATGTGGGGTGCACCGGCTTTCAGAGCCCAAACGAATAGAAACACACTTTCTGGCTAGCAGAAAAGAAACCGTTGTTTATCTTTTCTTGCTTTATTTGAGAGTGTACAGTAAAAGGGATTTTTTCAAATTATTTTTATATTATTTTAGCTTTAATTGTGCTGTCATTCATGAAACAGAGCTGTTCTGCTTCTCTGTCAGAGATGACAAGGGCTTTCTCAGCATCTCGTTTATGTGTGGAATTGAAAAGAATAAAGTTTTATTCCATTCTGTGTGAATGGTTTGAACAGTGAACAAGGAACCCATGCAGACCAAGTCATGACTGATAGACCGGGGTGGGGGGTGGGTCGTGTGCAGTGGGGGAGCTGTTACATCTGTGTTAAGTTATTGTGAACAGTCTGATGTCCTGACATCAGTTCATTGATAAGAAACAATTGATGGAGGAATGTATGATGATTAGGGCAAAAGTTGACGGTGAGCTGAAAAGATAGGTTCTGCTGTAACAACTAACAGACCCTTACAATGAAAATAATGTTTTGAGCTTTGAAAATAGGTGAGACTGTGCAATAAGCTTTTCTTTTTCATGACAAAAAATAAGCAGAATGACTAAACTGAGGAAAAGGTCAAAGAACAACTGAATTAAGCTTAATTGAAGGACCATTTAGAGCTCATCTGGTTGATTTGATTTACTTGTTTAATCCATTGATTTATCATTGACCTGTTAATGCAGGTTAGAGTAAGGAAGTGATCATAAACCTTAAATGGACTCTCAGTGATTCCCAAGCACTTTCATTTTGATGTAGGTTCATACTTGTGTTCACTTGTGAGGTCATTTAGAATTTGTGTTTAGAGGTTGAATATCTAATAAATAGTTTTTTAAATTAGTTAAATATATCTAAAGGCAATTCCAATGTTTATCATGGGAGGAGAAAAAACACATTAAAAAATCTGGTAATACAGGTTCAGTACAAGGTTTTTAACATCTCGGCTTACCTGCTTAATTACATCAAGATAGGAGGCTCTATCACTAGCCCAAGCCAAATCTGAAACCTACCAGAGAATTGACTGCCACATAGACAATTCTGCTGTCAGTTAACATTCCAGAAAAATTTGGGCAGGCAAGTTTCTGTAGCTGCCCAACTATGCTGCAATCAGTTATCTTTCTAGTGAAGAATTTTCACTGCATTCCAATTACAGTATGATGAAAACATTCCTACATTGAAAACAAACAAACAAATTCTTCATTTCATATATAAGTACATGCAATTTGATACACTAGGTCTGAGTATCAACCCAAGCCTGTGAGTTTGCAATGAAAAGCATTCTAGTGAGAAATGCTCTGTTCACAGAGGGAGAGGTTTTATCTGGACCTGCTAGCTTTACTAGTGAGAAAAGCGACTACTACATATACTATTTATACCCAGCACCCAGCCAAAGTACCAAATGAATCATATATTGAGGTTATTGTTCCAGGTAATTTACTCCCATCCTACTCACACTTCATTACAAAAATGAGGAAAGGGTACATAGGTACATATTGCTGAAGAGGGTGAGAAGCATTGATTACATCTCTGTCACTTAACCTCTGCAGATGTAGCTCTGCACTGAGTCAAAAAACCTTATGTAAGTGGGGTTTTTGTAGAATTAAATGGAAGAGCACTTGTAGGAGAGAGACTCACAGAATTTAAAAATCATGCGGTATCCTCATGAGGAGATAAAACCTGTTGCATCAGGGCAACAAATTGCCTGAAGTCAATTACACTGGAGTAGAATATTCCAGAAGTCTGGCCTCATTCCCAGACTGCTGAATTACCTGGGAGAGACAACATGCTCAGGTTACCATCTTTGTGCTGGTAGAACAGCCTCTCTACAGTGACTATGTGTCACACGACTGAGTCAGCTCCCACACACCTGGGCTTTCTTCCAGTTTAGTTAATGATTGTTTAACACAGTTGTTGGACTGGCCACATGCTGATGCAAGAGCATTATAGGGGAGTGAGGATTGAATAGACTTTGCCTCCCAGAGTGCAGTGCTTTGAGTTGTATGTGCGTGGTCCACATCTGTCCCTTTTAGATACTTCCTTCCCTGAAAAAGTTTCCATCCCAAAAAGTACAATTGTTTGAGAATTTTGTGATGAAAGTCCAGAACTTTTTGGTAGCCCATTCTTTTTGTTTTCAGTGATAAATATTATGTTACCAGTTCGGGATGGTAATAGAGCCTATGTCTGAACTGTGAGTCCTCATCTCCTGTGACTTGTTAAAGTTGTCCTTCTGTCCCTTTTATATTTATATACAGCACCCGATTCTTTGTGCCTCAGACCCAGTAACATGAGGAAGAGCTTTTGCTAAGAATGCACCACAGTAAAGTGAGAGCTGATAAAGCATCAATACTCTATTTTGTGGAGAAAATCAGTGGGAAGTGTTAGGTCCCAGTTTTCCAGGGAACCAACAGCCTCTGTGTGGGTACCCCATACGTAAGCCAAACCTTCTCAGACACTGAAAATTCAGGACTCACAGAATTGGGGGAGGAATAACCTCCATGCTTCCCTGAATGCCGAATTACACTTTTTTTTAAAAGTGAAGCAAGCTCTAGCACTAAAGAGACGGACAATGGGTGCGCAGTGGGTGTGGGTTCAGGGCAGGCAAAACTCCTGCAATCAGATACACTTCATGGGAAAGCCAAACCCAAAACTACGTTGCAGTAACTCCTGAAGCATCTGGTTAAATTAAAGAATCGTCACATCAATCAGGGCCAAGCCATATTTGCAGCCCATTTAGGTCAGGATTGGGGGGGTCCTGACTCATGCTGGTTTTCAAACACTGTTATTTTCCCAATGCTTGACGGCACTTGAGACTTGTTCTCCCAGTGGACCAAAAGGCTGCAGGAGCAGCCTGGTAGCACTGCCCAGGCATGCCTGTTTTAGCCAGGTCTGCCTGTCTCTGGGCGTGTTCAGGCAGGAGGTTGCTTGAAAACCACCGGAAGATTCAGCCTCTTGAGGTCCCAGGGCCTGAGTGCAGATAGAATCCCACCCGTATAAGCCTCACAGAGCAAATCATAGCAATGTTGGAATTGTTATTTTCAAGTGCTTACTTCATGACATTAAAAGAAATATTTTTTCTTATATATTAAAATTAAAATAAAATCATAAATTTTGATTTAAAATCAAATCATGTTTCTGGTTTCTTTTATCTCCTGTTCTAGGCAATTCTAAGGGGGCATGCAGGACTCTGAAGGCTACCGGAAAGGCCCAGGTCCCGTGAGACACCAGTGTGCTCGAGATCACAGGCGTGCTTAAAGGTCCTCCATTCTTGAGCAGGGCCCCCAGATGATGTCATCCTCAATACTACTCACAATCCCACGGGCGTCTAGCCCTTCGATGGTGTCTCATGGGTGTAACTCTTAACAATTTATGTTTTCCAGACCCTTTAATTCACCAGAGCTGTCCTCATGGGGCAGACAATCTAAGTTGGGCCCCCATTTGACAGATGAGGAAATTTTGCTCATTTAATCAAATAGCACAGAAGCAGAAGGAACAAGATTTGAATATCAACTCCTTCACCTCTTAATTTCTCTGTAGCTATTCAAAATTTTTAAAACAAAAGAGTATATAAAATTCCAGGATTGAGCACTAAACTACAAAGCACTTTGTTACATCATTGAACAAAGTGTTTCAGGCCAAAATGCACGTTGGGGAAGACATTTCAGAAGCACAGCAGCTGTCTCCTTACAAGCCCTGATGGCTGTTCACAAGGGTCATTCCTGACACCTGTGCACTGGCTATTGGGAAAGGCTGGCCTTCCACTTCCGCTGTTCTTGTTTGCTCTGTTGGATACTTTTTAGCCTGAATAGCAAATGGCATTCTTCATCGCATCTCTACACTGTGAACAACAGCAATGTTGTGTTTATATTTCAATTTAAACATGTTATACATTTATATTAAAATCAAGAACCTGTTATTTGTGGAGGTTTCCCAGAGCCAAAGTATGATGAACTTGCCTCTTTTCACATCATCTCAGAATAAATTAAGACAGAACTTTGTATTCCTTTGTAATCTATTTAATGTATGTTCTCAACTGAGGCAAAACTGGCCGAGGTGGGGAGTACCTTATAATGTACACAAAGTATTTTTAATTTTCCCCCTAAAGAAAGAAAAAGAAGGAAGGGAGGGAGGGAGGGATGGAAGAAGGGAGGGAGGGGCAAATCTTAAGGGATGTTTGTGTCTTTGATAGCAGCCTCAGAAACCCAACAGAAATGACTGCTCCATCATGTAGCTTCTGATAGTAAAAGAATCTCATATGATGAAAGTTTCAGAAATAAATGAAATAGGCATTAAATATAAGAGCATTTTATATCACTGTCAAGCTAGCAAAAATGCTGTACTTATGTAACTTAAAGCCCAAAGACATATAGCAAGCTTTCTAGGAGTAAAAAGATAACAATGGAATCAGAATACCAATATTTTAGCAACATGATCACTCTTGGCTGTTTTTTGCTTTTTCAAAATGAATAAAAGTAAGTATGCCCTGACTGGTGTAGCTCAGTGGATTGAGCATGGGCTGCGAACCAAAGGGCTGCCAGTTCAATTCCCAGTCAGGGCACATGCCTGGGTTGCAGGCCAGATCCCCAGTTGGGGGCACATGAGAGGCAACCACACATTGATGTTTCTCTCCCTCTCTTTCTTCATCCCTTCCCCTCTCTCTAAAAATAAATAAAATCTTTAAAAAAAAATAAAGTAATTACAGCCACAGTGAGTGTCCTTAGTCAATGGCCAGAACAGTTAAAACAACTGAAAGGGCTCCCCACTGGTGGGGCTGTAACTGGCTCATCTCCAGCCCTGGTAGGCAGGGGGCAGGTTCTCAGTTACTGCCAAACACCCTTCCTGAGAGGCAATGGAGATCACAGGGATTTCCATCGGTGCCCCTCCAACTCACAAAACTGGACACTGTCACATGTGCATGACTATGCATGCTGTCTCTGCATCTGCCCCATGATGTCCTGCAATATCCTGTTTCTAATAAAGGATCCCAGGCAAGACGAGAAGCTCTGGATCAGAAAAAGATAGAATCCCGCCCTGACCGGTGTGGTTCAGTTGGTTGGGCGTCCTCCACAAAGGGTAAGGTCAGTGGTTCAATTCCTGGTCAGGGCACATGCCTGGGTTGTGGGCCAGGCCCTAGTTGGGGCGCGGGAGAGGCAGCCACACATTGATGTTTCCCTCTCTTTCTCCTTCCCTTCCCCTTTCTCTAAAAGTAAATAAATAAAATATTTTTTAAAATAAAGATAGAACCTTGCTGATATTAAGAAAAAAGACTCAATCTAATTCAGTATCTCATTTTACACCGCAAGCATGCACAATTTCTTCTGCCTCTCATTGTTCTTCACTTACATATAATAGTCGAAGGAAGTGACCATTGACATTTCTCCTTACTTATGTACACATTACAGAATATGCACCTATATGGAAAAGATCTTACACATACTGTGAAAACCACGGTGCAGCCTAAGGGTTAAACATGTGTGACAGCACCCTCCAGGCACACCCCCTGCGATCTCACCACTGGATTGGCAATCTTTGGCATTTTCAGACGGACCCCCAAGGTGAAAACACTGTGCTACACTCCAGCAGGTTGTATACACAGCTTCCTTTACTAGCCACTACACTAATTCCTTTCATACCAGAGGGGAAATCCTACCCCCACCCTGCTAGGTATTTCTCTATGTTTTATTTATGAAAACTCGAATGGGTGTTTCTTAAGGCAGCCAGTATCTCTCTACAAAGAGAAGGCAAACAGTGTTTGCTATTCCTGCATCTTCCATCACGCATAGTTATATGTGAGTTACTAAAAAATGCCAGAGAACTTTCACAAATGTGTACTTTGTCTCTAAATTAGAAGCAGTACTAATTCCTTTTCTAAAAAAATTTATTTATTAATTTTAGACAGAGATGAAGGTGGGAAGAGAGGGAGAGAGGAAGGGGAAGAAACATCAACTTGTTGATTCACTTATTTATTAATTCATTTGTTGATTCTTTGTAAAATTTTTGTTTTAAATGTATTGATTTGAGAGAGAGAGAGACATCAGTGTGTTGTCATACACATTCACCGGTTGATTCCTGTGTGTGCCCTGACTGGGGATCGAAATGCAACCTTGGCGTATGGAACTACTCTCTAACAACTGAGCTACCCGGCCAAGGCAGTTCTAATTTCAACTTAGTTTTAGAATAATCAAATCAATACAGCATAAATAAACCTACTGAGCTTCTATTTGGCAGCCATACCAACTTGTCTGTTCATTTACACGTAACCCGAATTTTCCTCAAACCCAACGGCCGACAGAGGCAAATTCTCGTTGGTGTGCATCTCCCAATGATGCAAGACCTCTTTCTTGCTGCCAAGTTCTTTGCACCTAAAAATGGAAAATTGCCAAGGGGAGTGTTGCAGCCTCCATCAGGCATTTCTGCTATGTGGTCACCCCCAATTCACCTCCTTATTTTCCTCCCTCCCACCTATCTCCACCAGGTCCAGCTGCTGTCACCTCTCCATTGGGCCCTGAAATCTCTACACACAGGGTTCAGCAGTTCTCAGGAGGCAGTTGCCACACCTCAGACAGGCAGAGCCCTCCCACCTTCTCCGTGGTGGGCAAGAGGTCCCTTTCCTCTTGGTTAGATGCTGCGTATGAAAAAACTGGCCCCTCTTCTTCTCAAGAACAAGACATGCACCTAGGGGCCAAGGAATGTGTTATGGGAATGTGTTATGTGTTAAGGGGTTTGCCATTCCGTGTGGTTGTAGGTTATGGATTTTGGATTCTATGGATTTTAACTATGGGAATTACATAAACCTTGTTTAACTGAGGTAAAATACCACTAAAAAAGGTTCTGTTTGTCTAGAATTTTGTTGCACTTTACACCTCCATATTGATCTACAAAATATGTTATAGTAACTGCATTTTAATTATAATGGCATGTTTCTTTCAAAATTGCAGTTCTAGTCATGGATTTTTCCAGCGTCTGGCTCTGAGACTAGAACAAAGCCAGTATCTCCCCCAAATGGAATGTTAGAGCTTGTTAGCCTGTCCTTTTTCTTTTCATTACACAAAGGTTGTGTATTGAGAAAAATTTTTATTGCATCTGAAAAGCTATTTTAGTTCTTCTCTAAATGCCCCACATTTACATATATATGAGTAGTTTTAAAAAACAATTTGAAGCTTTTTTTCTGTATTTTGAACTTCTCCTAAAACTTTTGTAAGTGATTTTGTTGCACCTAACCACTGATTCAACTTCTTATTATGAGAACTTTTTAAAAAATTGTATTTATTTATTTTTAGAGAGAAGGAAAGGGAAGAAGAAAGAGAGGGAGAGAAACATCAGAGTGCTAGAGACACATTGACTGGTTGCCTCTCGCGCACACCCTGACGAGGACTGGCCCACAAGTTAGGCCTGTGCTCTCACCGGAAATCTAGCTGCTGACCTTTCACTTTTTAGGCAACACTCAACCAACTGAACCGCACTGGCCAGGGCCTGGGAGAACTTTTAAACACACATAAACGTACAGAGAATAGTGGTGAGCCCCCATATTCCCAGCACCTGCTTTTTTTAGTATTTATTAATGTTTGTTATATTTAAAATGTTTGTTTTAAAACAAATCCCAGGCATCAGGATATTTTATTCTTAAATATTTCAAGAAGCATTGCTAAGTGGGGGAAAGGCATTTTCTTACATAACTATATATTGGTATTATGATATTTACCAAAATCAATAATTTTCTAAAATTTTTTATTTATTGATTTGAGAGAGAGAAGAGAGAGAGGGAAACCCATCAATTTGTTGTTGTACTTATTTATGCATTCATTGGTGAGCTATCAGCCAGGGCTTAACAACAATTTTTTATTACCATGGTCATTTTTTTATTGCCTGGTCATTTTGTAAATTTCCCTGATTATCTCCAGATGTCATTTTACAGAAGTTCCTCATTTTTCCCCCTTTGCTGAGTGATTTATGGAAGAGACAGTATTGATGGTCTTATGATATGTCCCATGATTTTTCTGTTAGCTTGTGGTATCATTTAATTTATTCCTCTGTCTCTAGTATTACCTGTAAATGAGGAGCCAGCTCATAAAGTCTGATTAGATTCATGCTTAAGATTTTTGGCAGGAACATTTTAGGTAGTATTGT